TTTAATAAAATTGATGTTAAATACTGAATAAAATTATTCTTATAAATTTTGTTAATAATTTAACGTTTAGGAGGGGGAGGGGGGCCAAACTCATTTAAACAAAATGCTTTGAAAAATTTGTAAAGAACTGTAACTTATGTAATAATTAGTTGGTTGCAATTCTTTCAAATATTTCCATGAACCGCTGGATGGCGTAAGTACTAAATCGAGTTAGGTTGTTTCGTCAACTGTTCGCAGACTTATTTGCGGATCTTCCTACGCAGAGGCACCCTAATGCACTTGTGTTTGCCAAATGTCTACGCGTACATAAAGCGCAGCATAGTTGTAGGCTTTATGCGTTTGAATTAATAACAACTGCAGCAAGCGACTTGGCTACAAAAATTCAAAGTCATAAAACCGAGCGTGTCCAAATATTTTTTTTTTTTTTTTTTGCTATTTTTAGGCAGCTTTTCCCATTTCTTCCGTTATTGACATATCAATAGCGCAATTTAAAGAAAGTTCAGTTCAGCCTATTTCACATATAACACAATTTTAAATTGCGCCTTATTCTTCCAGTTTTCAAAATGCTTGATAAAACTTTGAGCGAATAGCGTCTCTGAGGTCTGCCACCTTGTGACAAAAAATTATTAATATATCCGAATATGTGGATCAATGTTCCAAAAGCGAACATTTTATAGAAAATATCGGTGATATACTACTGTGATCAAATTGATAGCTGAATTTGCCCATTTCATCTCCTTTAAAGCAATCCACTCCCTCTGCAATATATGTATTTATGCCAACGAATTTTACAGTCATCATAGCACTAGGAAAAATTCTCGTGATGGCCATTAGAGCTTTCTTCGATTAAGCTTTTATATTCTAAATTGAGTCAAGATGGTGTCCTCGAAATGATCACGATTAACCAATGCACTATGTATATTATCGCACTTCTTTGTTCAATAAATTCCGATATAGTAAAAGTCGAAGAATTCACTTTTATTTATATTTTTCACTTTTAAAAAAATATTCTCAAAATTTATTAAAAATTTTACCGCATTATGTTATAAATTTTATTAACTTTTTTGTGCCTCTGTTCTAGAATAAAACATGCAGTATTTTTCCATACTATAACTCGTTTTACTCTAAGGAGTAGTTTCACATATAACAAACTATAGCTTTATAGATTTGTAGAATACCCTTTTAGCTTAAGCTCGTAGTATATTCGGTTCTCTGAAAGTGTAAATTAAGTAATATTTTATACTATTTTTCATAAGCAATTCTCATATTCTCAATTCATAACTGGAAGGCAAAAGCAATTCAGCAAATCTCGCCCCGAAAGCTATGTGGAAGCGGAACCGTTTTAAATAATTAATGCACAAAATAAATTGTAGTATTAAAGAAATTAAAAGAGAAATAGCAGAAAAGAGTAGGGAGAAATTATTACAAGCACCACTTTCATAATAAGGCTTGCTACATACATATGCACAAACACAAACACTTATATGCATATGTAACGGTATGTGGCTAGAAGCGTTTGCCAACGCATACAAACAAACTTTTCCAAAGTGCTCGCATTAATTTCGCCATTCACATTTTGCACACTTCATAAATCGGACGAGATCAATGCAAGCGACTGCTGACTGCCGACTGTTGACTGACTCTTTGGCGGAGGAGCGCTCCTCCGATTCATGACTCCTGCTGGTAATGGAATTACAAAGTTGCGTTGCCATAAAATTAACTGCTTGTTTGACTTGACTGTTTGTGTGTATTTGTAATTGTATTTGTGTTTGTATGAGCGATGTGATGAGATTATCATAATTAATTATGTTACCATGAAACCGATAATTAAGCTGATTGGTTTGGCTTTGGATAGCTTTTCGCTCTGGGTGTGTTAGCAGCAATAAAGCTAATCTAATTACATAAATGCATTGCCAAGTTAGTAACATGTAAGCGAAAGTGATGAATATGTATCCAGTTAAGTGCTATGTCGTATATATGCGGCTATATATGTATGTGTGTTAATTAAGGGTCATAATTTAATTGAGTCAATTTTGCGGTTATTGGTGGGTATTGACTGTGCTGTCAGCAGAGATCATTTTTCAAAATGATTAAGTGCACATAAAACAATCAATAAAATCTGAAATATGTAAGCCAAATGAAACTTTTGTAAGTTGTAATACAGGATTCTAACCCTTGCAGTTGTAGTTTACGCGTGATATTTGAAGAATAGCGAAACAAGGAGGTCATAGTGACAACATTTTCATAATACAAAATATTTGATGAGTTTAAATTCACCAGAGAATCCATTCAAATATTGCCCGTGAACATTCTCAAGATTAATCAAATGAAATAGGTAAATCTAAGAGGCACAGTTTCGCTCCCTACTAATCCCTATTATTAGCCTAAATTTGTAATATAAATGCATAACAATATTTAAAGAAACCATTTTAATATTTTATGAACAGTTTTAGTTGCGATCTCTTTTTTATTTTAAACCCTTTCAAAAATTGTAAGCTGATTTGACCCCGAACCGGGTATATTAAGTTTGCTAAGAAGTTTGCAATGCACTGAAAGAATCCTCGGACCCTATAAATATAATGGGTCAATTAAAAGGCCTCTGGCCTGACACATAGATGGCACCACTAGAAAAAATTTTTATTTGACCCAAATCTTTAAACGTGTAGTGTGTAAATATGGCAGCTGTCGGATCATCAGTTTTTGGATTATATCATTTTGAGTGAAGCAACTTTAGATATTCTGCAAAAAATTGATAAAGAGAAATATTGCATGTGGATAAAATATAAATTTTTGAAGGAGAAAAAATACAGTTGAGGCAAAAACTTGGCATTAGGCTCCCGAACGAACTCACTTTTGACCATAAACAACGACGAGTTGATGATTCGGAGAGTTAGAAGATATTCAAGCGTAAGAAACCCGAGGTTTTGCATCGATATGTGGCAAAAAATGAAACATGGTTCCATCATTTCGCTTCGAAGTCCAAGCGAAAGCCATCCAAGTGGATTGCACAAGATGAAAAAATGCAACAGTGGGCTAGCGAGGTTATGGCGGCTGCATTTTGGAATGCACATGGATTAATTTTAATTGACTAACTTAAAAAATGAAAGACAATTAGCAGGCACTATTAGCTATATAGTGTTATTGGACCGTTTTAAGCACGAAATGGCCGAAACGACGACCACTTTTGAAGAGGACACCAAGCAGCAAGACAATGCTACGTGTCACAAGTCAGTGAAAACGATGACAAGCATTAGAGTTCGAATTGCTTCAACATCCACCGTATACTCCAAATCTCGCCCCCCAGCGAGTATTTCCTGTGCTTACATCTCAAAAAAGCATGCTCGCAGGGCTTTTCGTCCAATGAAGATGTTATCGCCGAAACTGAGGCCTATTTTGTAGCAAATACCATATACAGGGTATTCTTCCTTCTGCCTTCGATACAGCCGAAGTAAACATTTTTTAATTTTTATAAAATTATCAACATTTCTACATCTACAGTGATACAGTGATGATTCAGATAGCGAATAGTGGAAATTGAATGTTTCACGTTCAAATCCTTTAGCAACAAACACGTTGCTGGCAGTTCACACATCTTGTCTTTGTTTTCTTACAAAATCTTAATAGCACAGACTTATACATAGACGTTAATATTATTAGTTGCCTTGATTATACACACATACATATGTATGTATAGATCTAACAAATACAACCTCTTCCATACATATTCATAAGCTAATTGTAGTGAGCCCTTTCAAGTGCTTTGCCGATTGTCTACCACAGACGCCCACTTGTTTTCACCACCCCTTCTGAACTGTTACTCGTATAATCAAAGCACCCCACCGCCTGCGTCGACTACTTAATTTATCTCGCCGCTCTTTGTCCCCATTGCTACTTGTTTTTGGCATATCACATTATTACTGGTAACGAGATAATTGTATAATGAAATATAAACAACACCAGCCATTCCAAAAAAGCAGCAATAACAGCAACAACATAAAATGTTATAAGCAGCTGCTGCAACGCCCTAAATGACTTTATTTTAGTCAAAGCGACTTGCCACCAAACTCCGCCCCTTTCTCCTCTCCGTGTACGTCTACTGAGCTGTCAGCTAGCGCATCCTTCATTTCGCTCCGTACTCAATGACTTGTCGTTTTCCGACTTCTAATTTATTTCTGCTATTTTTGTTGTTGTTATGGCGCTTGTCTTGCWTTTTTTTTTTGCCACTGTAAGGCGAACAAACATTAAACATTTATTTGGGGATGTGTTTGTGTGTGTATGTGTGGTAAATGCCACTTGGCGCTTTGCTTTTCTGCTACTCATTTCCACACACGCTTACACTTACACACACAGAGATATAGTACATATGTATGTATGGAGTTGTTAAGTACGTTAAGTACGTGTGATGTTGCCGTTTTTGCTCTTTTCACACACATGTGGGATTGTTGTTGCTTTTACTTTTGTATGTTTTCTTGGCACTTTGATGGTTGCTGCTCCAACCGAAAATAGCTTGTCATGGCCGTTTGGTATACTTGAAATCTCACTTTTCTTTTTGTATGTTTGCTACTTGACAGCTGCTTGATTGACAGTACGAGTTAAGTGCATTAAGTGCCACCACACCCACTATGCTGGAACACTGTCCCGGAACACTGTGGTTGCAGCTTAAACGGGGAATGAAAATTTAATGAAATGTTCATACAGCTGTGTGTGTTGATTGTCAGTCCTTGTAAGTACTACAAAAAATTATCCTTCGCCGAAGTCATAATTCGACTTTAGAACAAATTAAGCCAAGATACAACCCTATATCTTGTTCTCCGAAGAAAACCTCTAAAGCTAAAGGGCGAACACTCATTGGACTTATGTTTCGGTTCCTCGAGCAGCTTAGCTCTAAGCCAGTTGTGCGAACTATTCAAAAATCTCTCAATAATGTCAACACCGTTAGCACCTTGATCTTCAAGTTTTAACTAAAATTACTCTCTAAGAAATTAAAAAAAAATACAAAATTATTTTTTTCGCAATTAATCAATCATTTATTTTGACAGTTATTCCTTTTCAATCAAAATTTAGCTAGCAACGCCGCTGTTCTGCTTTATCCAGTCCAAGAAGTAGGTGACGCGCACGAAACCAGCTGGAGCGCCAGATTGGCAACCTTTCTTGTGCACAAACGAGGTTACACCGATGAGAACACCATCAGCCACCAATGGTCCGCCAGAGTCACCGCTGCAGGTAGAGGTACCACTAGGCGTAGCAGTGCAAATAGTCTTCGAGGTAACGGTCAACGAACCGTAGGTCTTGGCGCAGACACTGTTGTCAATAACTTGCAATTGAGCATATTGCAATTTGGAGTTAACAGCGGCGGCCGAGTCACTGATGAGTCCCCAACCAGAAGCAATAGCTTTAACGCCAGAGTAAGTGGAGTACGAGGAGGAGATCTTGGGCAAGGCAATCTTGGAAATGTAACTGGAGTAAGATACGGATGGGATCTTAATCAGCGAAATGTCATTGGCAAGGGTCAGCGAGCTGTAGCTCTTGTGTTGCACAAAGTTGCTCTTATTAACGGTATACGACAGCTTGGGGCTGGTACGAACAGTAGCGCCGAGGTAAGCGGTCACACCGGTGGCGCTAGAAGTGCAATAAATTGTATTTTAATACCTGAACGCCAACAATAATAAAATAAAAACCTTCTACATACCCGCTTGTGCAGTGAGCAGCAGTCAAAATCCAGGTGTTGTCGATCAGAGAACCACCGCACCACCAACCGCCGTTGCTGCTGCTGAAGCTCAAACCAACCTGATAGGGGAACTGACCCTCTGCGGCATCTTTGCCATTGGTAATGCGACCCTGAATACCTTCGGGCTGTGCCAGAATAGCGGCCAAATCACGTGGGTGTACAGCTTCTTGAGATGGGGTGACAAAACCCGCAGAGGCCGTAGCCACAATCAATGCCAACACAATGAACACTTTCATTTTGCTTAAGTAAACAAATACTATGATATTCTCGCCTAAGTTCCTGGCTTATATACCCACAAACTACTCGGTATCTTCGTTGCGATCACCTACAAATATCAGTAGTCAGAGGTAAGCACTTTATGAATTGCACATGCTATAAAAGGGCCATAAAAAGTGGAGCGCGCTTCGGGTATGTCGCTATAAAACGATTTAGCTGCCGATATCATCATACAGGCGATAAGATCGAAATAAAAATTGAGTATACCAGCTGGAATCATTAAATTAAATGAATAATCTTTGAGCATAAATCAAACGATTTGTTTAAAAGTACAAATTCGCTTTGACTGATAACATACGATCCTTATCAAACCGTTTATCAATATAAGTTGTTTATATTGATTTCTTACGTATTCTTTGTCGAACAGGGTTTTCTGGTTTCTCATGTTCAATGTTTATAAGTACCACGTACACATATACATACGTAGCACACAGAGAATACCCCGAAGATCGTAAATCTCTATAATGTTTCATTAAAAAATGGCAAAAAAAAGATATTTCTAATAAAAATCGTCTATAAACTTATTGTAGACTGCAGATAGCGGTACACATATGACGCACTGAATTTGCAATAATTACCCTCGGCAGAAGCAAAGTACCCAGTATCGAATTTTAAAGCAAAGTTACTTGTAAAACATAATGTGAGCCTAATAATTCACCAGTGTCATAGAGAATTTAAAATTTTCCGAAAATCAAAATTTATGCATATTTCGATTGGATTATTAAAAACAACAAGTAAGAAGGGGCTAAGTTCGAGTGCAACCGAAAATTGTATACACTTGTGACTTGCAAGAATCAAAACCAAGGAAATACCTTAAGATGCGAAACGTCCAACAGACGGTCGGAATCTAAGCAATTTTATATATACATACTATATATAATACATAACTCATAAACTGATCGACATACATATTCGGCAACCATTATATGTAACATATGGGAGGGGGTAGTATACATAGACCCGATATTATCCATTAAATATTATCATGCAACATACTAAAATAATGTTTACTGGGTTGCTGAAAAATTATTTTTTTTTTTTTTGCATTTTCGTTAAATACAATATCTTAAAATATTCTCTGAAATCGTTGACACCATAATTAGTTTTTGAGTTATTCGTCAAATAACAAAGAGAGCTCGGGCACTTCAAAGCGCTCGGGAGAAACTTTAAACGCGTTTTTCTCAAAACTATGCTTTTTGAACTGATGACAACTGTAATTCGAAAACCGCCCAGTAGATTTTAATGAAATTTATACAGCTTTTATTATTATTATTTTTTTTTTAAATTCGATTTTTTGAGACCAATTAACTGTTGTTTATTTCGCCAAAAAATTTTAAAAAAATTCATGAGGCCGCCATTTTGTTAATTTTGAAAAAAATCCTTCGATCAGGCCCAGGCTTATCTATTTATGAAACTATTTTTTTGTCCGATTGATTTTAAATGAATCTCCAAGGACTTATGGTTGTCACCGCAAGTACCTTTTTTTTGGAGCAGGGTCAACACAAACTACTAAAAGTTTTGGTAATTAATTTTTTTGTTTTTGAAATTTTCGTGACTTCAAGTCAACACATTCTGTAATAATGCCATATTACTACTTTTCTAAAATAACACGATTTAATAGTAAAGAAAAAAATACTGAAAATTTTCATATTTTCGTGCCTCTGACTACCTCTAACACCTTAAAGTATCTCACATACAATCACCAATCATATGGAGTAGTCACCCGTATGTTCGAAAGTCCTGGTAATAGTCACTTTAGGGGTCGATCAAGTTTTCGTCCAATTGTATATATTTTCAATGCGCTTTTATTAGCTTCACTTGTAAGTTTGGTTATAACTTGCTTGTTTGTTTGTTTATAACTTTCTTCTGTGGTAGTGAAACTTGTTGTGCGATACTGTAAAAAGGCGATCACAATTTAAAGCAGCTCACCACAAATATGCGCTGAAAAGTATGCAACGTTTAAATAAAAGCTTCAACTATTGTTGGTGACATTTCAATAGAAATGTGTGTACACATTCGTAAAGAAGGGAAACTTTAAATGCAAATCTATGGCAGCATTAATATAAAATAACAGCACACCATAATAAATAATGCAAAACACATGATTTTCAGGTAACAAAGTTTAGTTTTGCAATTGTAAAGAGAAGAATAATAGAAGTTTAGTAGTAAAAATTCAGATGCTTATCATCAAAACGCTTACATTAAACACCAGCGCCAGTTATGGCAAAACTTTGAGGTTTGGGGTATGGACGAAATTTGTATGGTACATGATGAGATGCTTTGCATGATTGACTCCCGTTTGCGTTAACTGAAGAGACCGGACACTTGCTTTGGTGATATAAATGCCTTACTCTTTGTTAATCCAATGTAGTTACCACCTGTCCGAGGACAACTAGGTTTTCAATATCCAGAACTCTGCAAATCTGTGGCGACAATATCGCCTGCTTGAACTCCAACAAAGCATGTGTCAGCAATAAGACACGACATTTATAGGAGTGCTTAATGCTTTCGAGTTGGAAAGATGAAGTCTAAGCGTCTTGAAGTTCTTCTAGAAAAAGTGTCAACAAATACCACTGAAGAAGTCTTTAGTCAAAACGAAACAATTCTCCACAGTTTTCAAGACAAAGGGACTCTTATTTATACGAAGTGCAAGGGCAACTCATTGATCCTGCTTGATTGAGCTAATAAGGACTTAAATACTATAATACCTGTTCCTGCTATTTCGTTGTGGCCTGGCATCCATTCCAGTCTTAATACAAGGACACTCGATTTGTGTGATAGCGAGGTTTGCCCTCTTTGACCAGCCCTGAACGATCCGTTCATGAATTAAAGGCTAATGACGCCGCTCTGCAATCTGAGTGGATGGTCACTTCTCTGAAGGAGGCGGCACTCCGGTACTGTAAATCTTCGGCTACTTTAATGACTGCAACCTCGGCCTGGAAGGCGCTGCAATAGTCAAGTTGACAGAAACTGGTGTGGATGGAGAGCTTCTGACACCAACCTTCTTCCCAAGCTTTGACTCATCCATAAAGAAGCTCGCTGCCCCTCTCCTCCAACGGCTTCTTCCCACCAACAACTCCCTCGCCGGTATATGGACAGAGAAGGAGAAGGCAGACTTCGGTTTGACGAGCAATCCGGTATGTAGTCTGAGAGATTGGGAAGTTCTGAATGTTCAGACACATGTACTTTTAGAAATCCAGACTCTCTGAGTGTGATGCCAACTTTCGCAGCCCTACACCTTCCGGCGATATCCACGGGTAATAAAGTCAGCACCGTTAGTACCTTCATCTTCAAGTTTTAACTACAACGACTCCTAAACAAGTTTTCTCAGTGACTACCCTTTGAGATCATTCACATACACATATAATATTCAAGTAGCTGGCACTTTATAAATTACACATGCTACAAAAGGACCATAAAATGTGTCGTACACTTCAGGTATATCACTATAAAACGATTTAGCTGTCCATATCATTACAGTCGTGATTAGTTAAAAATAAAAAGTAAGGAAATGCTAAGTTCGGGTGCAAACAAACATTTTATGCTTAAGCAATTTGCAGTCACCAAGGCCAGGAAATTTATCTTAAAATGCGAAACGTCAACCAAGTAATCGAAATCCAAGCAATTTTATATATACATATACTACCTATAACTCATACCCTGATACATTTGGTTTGTTAGAAAACGATAATCATCATAGGTAGTATATGGCAGTTGGGGGGGACTTGACCCGATTTTATCTATTTTTTCCAATACTACATACTATTAACATGATCATACCAAAAACCAATCATATAGAGTAAGTTCAACCGGATGTGCGAAAATCTGCTATTACCTCAGTGTATAAAGGCAATGTCAAGTTTTCCATCAAATGTTTTTATTTTGCGCACACAGGCACGCTATTAATAGTAAAACACGCTCTATCATTTTCAATGAGATAACTTACATCTTGGCCGATATATGCTGTTTAAAGTCACCCGAAAGATTTCGTACTATCTCACAGCAATATGACAGAATCCCACATGTCTCATGCCATCTCGAATGTAAAATTTAATGTTTGCGAGACGTACAACAGTTAGATGTACATAACTATAATACTCTGTACCAACAGGTAATAAGAGTATAAAAAGAAAGTATACTGGCAAGAATCATTAAATTAAATTAATAATAAATGAGAATAAATCAAACCCATTTCGCTCGGACTGATAACATTAGATCCTTATAAAAATGTTTATCAATATAGGTTGCCTCGTTCGCTTTCTATTATATTTTTTCGTCAAACCGATTTCTTTGATTACTCATAATGTTCGTAGAAATCACGTACACGCATATGCACGTAGTATAGTATATGTATTGTATATAGGGAAAGTGATACAGATATGACGCGATAGCACCACAATGGGTTACCCTTGTATTTTCCTTTAATTTCGCTAAGACATCTTACATATGGACCGATTACACCCTTTTGTAACACGATGTGAGCTGTAAAGGGGCTATACTTAGATTAAAGGTGTAAAAGAATTGCTACCTAATGCTGCAGAGGTTTTTACTTTTAGTAGCGGTTGTCATATTCATTCAACATTTTCGAGTGAAACTCCAAACGCGGTTTTCCAGACCTGCACCGCCCTCTTTCTCATCAACTGAACAATAACTTTACTATTAATTTTTTATCCTATTCAAACTACACACAGTACTCTTTCATCTCAAATTGAGCGTAAGAGAAGAACAATATGAAGCGGACATAACAAACTATTGAAATCCGAAGCAAAAGTTTCGTTAGAAAAATCAAGCGTTTAAATATGTAACTATATACATATACATAAAAGCATACTCAAATTCATATTCAACAAAAAACCCACAACAACGAAACAACAACAACTCGGAGTCATATTGGCAATTCAAAAATATTTGTTGGCTTGCAACCGCAACACGATGCCACAATGCAAGCACAAAAGTGAAATATTTGCAAGTCCAACCTCAAATCGTT